AAATATAATCATTGGAACTTCACGACCAAGTATAACAAACTCGGGTTACTTCTGCCCACAGGGCCTCTTTATGGAGCCTTGGTGGTGTGGTGGTTATGCTTTGGGCTGTGAACCGCCTGGTTGGCAGTTCCAAACCACCAGCAGCTCTTTGGGAGCAAGACTGGGCTTTCTGCTCCAATCAACAGTTCCGGTCTCCGACACCCATAGGGGTCGTTATGAATCAGCAACTGACTAGATGGCAACGAAAAATGAGTCTTCTTTTTTTTTTATTATTAATCATTTTATTGGGGGGCGCCTACAAATCCTGTAACAATCCATCATTCCATAGTATTAAGCACCCTTGTACCTACGTTGCCATCAACAAGCCTTCGTTTTACAAGGAACTGAGTCATGGGAAATCCACTGGGGCGGTTCTACTGTCTGTCCTGTGGGGTCGCTCGGAGTCGGAACGCTAAGAAAAACACAAGGGGTCTGACCGTCCGCGGTCAAATCAAGGTCTGCAACAGTCGGCGGGCGCTCCGCAACTGCTGTCCCTTGACTGGCCGACCCGGCACTGAACAAAACGCGCTGCCCAGAGCTGGGGAACAACTTCCCGGACTCCACTCTAAGAGGAGCCCCTGCTAGGTGCTCGAGAACCTGGGCGGACCGCGCTCACCTGTAGTACACAGCCAGGTGTCCTTCTTCGATCTTATGGATGGAGGCGTACAGGAGGACGGCCACCAGTCCCACCACGGCAGCCACCAGAACCCGGGCTTGAGTCATATTCATGCTGCTTCCTCCTGGAGGAGGGAGGGAAGGAAGGACCCCCAGCCCCGTGAGTGACAGCCCACTCCTTCGAAGGCCCCCTCGCCCCCTCCGGAGCCTAGGGGCCCGGCCGCCGGCCAAGCGGACGAGGGTCCGGCGCCCCTTGGCCCGCACGTTTCCATCCTCGCAAAGGCAGCTTCCCCCTCGCTAAGCCCTCCACCCACAGCGGTCCGGGGCCAAGCCCCGGCCAGGTGAGCGTGCTGTCACCCCGCTCTTCCACAGGCGGCTCCCCCGCCCGAAGGCACCGCGGA